CCCTTTGTACGAACAAAAGTAAGAGAAATTTAGGATAAGAATACGAACATGTTCTTGCATGAGGCCCAATTAGTTTCTTTTTTTTTTTCCTTTTTCTTTCTTGTTCTCAGAATAAAATGTGACAAAGCAGAAATAATTCAACACAATTCAGTTTGCCTACGCTCAACTATTCATTTAATTTCCACCCAACAAAAAATGTTAAAAGCTTCAAATTAAATTACTTTATTGTGGGATAGAAAGGCAGTTTTAATGGAAAAAGAAAAACTTGATAAAAGGAAAATTTGAATGTTTTTTCACAAAGAACGGGAGCAAGAAGGAGGAGGTGTGTGCTGGAGGGGTGCAGTGATTTTTTTAAATATAAAAACAATGATTATAGTAATAAATAACAAGGAGTCACAGCCTTATAAGATTACTTCCATCACATTTTGGTGGRAAAAAAAGAAAGTTGGAACTTCCACAACGACAGAAAATAAAAGCTAATTAAATTCAACCATCTGTGAAAATCTAAAAACATGAATAAGAGCTAACTAGAGGAATATTATTTAAACAAGTGTCTAATTTGTCTTGTTTAAATGAACAGGCATCATTTTTAAAGTGCAGCATCTGCTCTACAATCATCCAAGCAGGGGGTAACCAGCACTACACACCCCTGCTTTAAACCAAACTGGATTTTCTGGTAGTCAGTACCTCTGAYGCTACAGAACAAGAAGGACCAGTGTAAAGATGACAACAAGTGACACACAATAAAAGAAACTCACTGCCAGCCTGCCCACACCCCAGCCCAAAGATGTCACAATTTTTGTCCTCATAAGCTGTGGAACGGGAAAACAAACCCGTCCACATTCCTGACTGTGACACGGCGACGATATAAAGACGTAACAGTAAAGGTTTCAAACACTTAAACACCATTTAGTGTTGCTGTACTAAATACACGAGTAAACACATAATAACCAAGAAGCACATGTTTYGTATTTGAGACACTAAAATCTAACAAACTGATTATAAGTAATAAAATAAATAAATAAGTTCAGGCAGCAGCGTTATTTATAAATTACCAAGATAAGTCAAATTCCTTTGATGAGCTGATCAAATGACAAATAAACCTCCTGCTGCTTTGCAGGGATGAAATGTAAAAGGAAGCCACTAAGCAAATTATTTAGACGTGTTTTGTTTATTTAATGGAAGTATTACTTGTTCAGGTTAAAGACTTTGGATCTACTTTAAGGGCAGTCATGATGCTTCAGATAAGAAAAGGCTGTCAGACTGCCGAGCTAAAAAAGGGAGCATTTTTTGCTTCTGTATTACAATTACATAATTGATAAATACAAACTCTAATTTTGAACCGACATGACCTGGACGGCCAAGAATTTACAGCAACACCTGAGTGAACACAAGACAACTGAACTTCCTGTCTTGTAACTTCAAAATGTTTCACCTCGTGTCTGACAAGCTTCTGCACTTCTAAAGTTTTGGGCTTATAAATTGTACTTGTACAACGACATTGTCTGAAATAGTCCCTGAAGCGACGRGGAAGTCTATTTGATGAGTTTAATTGCTTCAAACAAACAAAAAAACAACAAATCGGTCACAGACATGTAGTTTTAAATCTAAAGATAATTCAGTGAGAGTTAAACCCAGCTGCTCAGCTGAGCCTGACTCCAACCAGATTGCATGGCAAGTCTGAAGAAATGTATTTCACTTACTTGGAATGAAGCAGGGGGTCAAAGGGCGGATGCTGTGCACCATAAACATGCTGAATGCTGAGGAAATGAGAAGAAAAGGGAAATGAATGAACATCTGTGCTTTGCTACCATGTTAGCTTAAATATATTCAGAAAAATAAACACTTGCACGCTGCAAGGCTGCACCTCACGTGGACTAAGAGGATGTTAAATCGTCTTTAATGATCAGTGTGAACATGCTTATTGTAGCATTTAGTGACAACTTTGACGGTGAGTGAAAATCTCAACAGCTAGCTCCTGAAGTTAGCAGTGTAGCTCTTCCCAGCTTACAGCGGCTAACTGCATCGTCAAAACCTATTTACCACAAACAACGAAACGTAAGATGGCTCGAAAATCCCATGAAATACAATAAATGTTTTAATTACGATATTTGCGACGTCAGAAGCTTGACAGTTCGGCGTCAAATGAGAGAAGCTAGCTASGCTAATATAGCCAACAGGAGGGAACACGTCACTCACCTGCCAGGAACCTTCGCTGCGTTTCTTTTCCAAAATTGTTTTTTGTTCCCGTCACTCGACATTTTCCCCCCTGAAGTCCAGTAAATCCCAGCCTCGGACACCTCGACGCTGTCGTCGCCTCCAAAGCGTTTAATATCTCCTTATTTACACCAGGTCCCCTCCTCCAAAACTCAAAAAGCTGCCATGTTGATACTTCCTGATCGACGAGTAAGCGCGCCGGTGATTGGCTGGAGCGGCGATCTTTCGCTGTGAGCCAATCATAAGTGAGCTTCGCGGGTCGGCTGTTTAAGGAACTGCTGACGTCATAGTGCACGGCTTATTTGCTGTTGTCAAAGGAGACCCCCCAGCATCAGGACCACTACCAGTGAATGACTATTTCAGACAGTTTTTTAAATCTATGTTTATATTTATTTATCTTTTTATCCACTTATTAATTAATACTGAAAATTTATCAAATAAACTTCGATACAAATGTATATTTTTGTTTTTGTTCCCAGACTTTTATTTGCAATATAATTAAAGAAATGAATATTCACAGCAGGTGATTATAATCTAAAAGTCACGCACTTAAAGAATTGCGGGAAAAGACACAAAAAATAGAGAAACAAAACCCGATTCAAACGTAGTAATAAAACCCACAATCATATCTCCCTGGCATTGACAGTTAAATCTACATCTTKTCAGGCTGCRTTCCCTTTAAAATASAAGCAATAAAAATAAATTKAACATATATCAAAACATTTGTATTATTACTGACAAACAATTGAAATAAATACAGTAACACTTTTAGTAAAGATGTAATATGAGTATCTTCCGCCCCCTGCCTCCGGAGTGAACCGTCTTTCCACATACACGATCTTTGTTGTAAAACTCTCTCCAGCACGCGCYGAGGAGTGAAGTGAGCGCAGCAGGGGTTCGAGACGGGGTCCTAAAAATGGGCTGATGTCAGGACAGAGACAGTAATAATGACGGGACAGAAAGACAACATGGACAACCAGGTGTCCTTACTGTCGTCGCAGCTCCTTCTGAAGCACAGACCGGTGGAAGTTCGTCTTTCTCGCGCTTCTCTGACGTGGAAGGAAATTGGGAAGAGCAAAAAGCGACTTTATCCTGAAACAGGTAAACAAAAACTGGTCGTTTTTATGTTTAAAAATCACAACTTGTTCTTTTTGATTGTTTTCTGTCAGCGCTTCAATGACCTTTATAGTCCCCCGTTCAAAAGAAAAAAGGTAATTCTGCGCTCCTTGGGGTGGTGCAGGTGATAAAGGAGCTGCTGTAGTTAAAGGTCTGTTCAGTCAGCAGAGGGTCTCAGGTGGGCTTTCACTCTCAGGTAATTACAGTCCACTGGTCCCTACATGTCTGCCTGTTATAGTCTGAATCAACGTTTAACCTTTGGTGTTCTGCATATATTTCAGCTTTTTATTTATCAAAAATGTTCAGCTCTTACACTTTAGATTGTCTTAAGTTTTATTATTTAAAAAAATGTTACAAATATTTTTCTACTGGAAAAACTGATATTTTCAATTCCTTTCTAAACATTACCCTCTGAACTGGTTCTGCATAATTGTTCTATTATCCTGTTGCTTTTAGTTTGTATCTAACATTCTCAAGCATTTGACTACTTTTAGCTTCTAGTCATTCTGCTACTTATAGCTTATACTTATACTTTCACTACTTTCAGCCAGCTGAAAGCTATTTTAGCTTCTAGCTAGTCTTTTGCTACTTTTTAGTTGCAGTTGTGCTACATTTACCTTCTATTTTCCTTCATTTTAGATAGTATTTGGCTACCTTTAGCTTCTAGCTAGTCATTTGCTACTTTTTAGTTGCTATTTTGCTGCTATTTAGCTTTTACTTTCCTTCATTTTAGGTAATATTTGCTACCTTTAGCTTCTAGCTAGTCTTTTGCTACTTTTTAGTTGCAGTTGTGCTACATTTACCTTCTATTTTCCTTCATTTTAGTTAGTATTTGGCTACCTTTAGCTTCTAGCTAGTCATTTGCTACTTTTTAGTTGCAATTTTGCTGCTATTTAGCTTTTACTTTCCTTCATTTTAGCTAATATTTGCTACCTTTAGCTTCTAGCTAGTCTTTTGCTACTTTTTAGTTGCAATTTCACTGCTATTTAGCTTTTACTTTCCTTCATTTTAGCTAATATTTGCTACCTTTAGCTTCTAGCTAGTCTTTTGGTACTTTTTAGTTGCAATTTCACTGCTATTTAGCTTTTACTTTCCTTCATTTTAGTTTGTATTTGGCTACCTTTAGCTTCTAGCTAATCTTTTATTACTTTTAGTTGCAATTATGCTACATTTAGCTTCTACTTTCCTTCATTTTACCATTCTATCATTAGCTTCTAGCTAGTATTTTGCTTCATTTTAGCCACCATTCTGATACTTTTATCTTCTACTTCTGCTACTTTTAGCTWCYAGTTGACCTGTTGCTACATTTAGTTATMCTTTGGCTGSTTTTAGTTGTTTAGCTCCTATTTGTCTACTAAAAGCTTTTAGTCAACATGGTTACTTTACTTTATCTATCTTTCTCTCTATAAATCACTTAAAAATTTTAGCTAACATTTGGTTACTTTAAGCTAAACTTGATATTTTTGTGAGTGTTTTGCTACTTAATACTATTTAACTTTTGTAATTCATAAAATGATGCCAAAAAAAGAAGCTAACACTTTAACCTGGAGGAAGACTTTGTCTCTTCCTTCGTACTTTGTGTTCTTTGTCTGAGAAGCGGAGAAGTTAATTATTAAGACCTGTTTGACAGAATATCACTTTTTAAAYGACCAGACTGTCCGTTTAAGTTTTTGACACATAGGCCACATTTCAGAACTGGTTTCTCTGGGCCTATCAGAACTTCAGTAACACAACTTTTAGCCTATTTTAAAAAGAAGTAAGCTGAAATCCCTGTAWTTCAGTTCTCTCCCTCTTTATTTATTAACATTGTGCAACAAACCTCTGACAGTTTTTGTCATTTGCGTCAGACAGCTTCTACCCAAATGGGACAATCTTCTGTCCCGCGGGGCTAATGTTTGTTCTCCGATGTTAGCTGGGATCCCAGGTCTGCAGTTGCAGCGGCACATGGAGTGGAGTGATTACAGCCGGCTGCTCAAACCCAGCTATTGACCTTCCACAAAGTGGTATCAAGTGTCCTATAATAACCTGCCATAAAAACTTCCATTTATTGAGTCAGTGTTCAAAGTGGCTTCATCAAATCCCCCCGGTGATCGCTAAGACGGGAGCAGGTCAGTTTACTCTGGAATTAGGAATCAAGCGACGACACTTTGCCAATAAAAATATGTAACAAGTTTGAGCACTGCTGTTAAATAATTATGGCACATTAATTTCTGAGATCCGCAATCAAAATGAGACGCCTAACGACACCAACCTCTGTGTGCTGTGGTATGAAAGGCAGCTGATGTGAATTAGTTTTTAATTATTATAAGGACAGTTCCAGTGCTGTTCCTGAAAGAAACGAAACACAGTATTTTTCTGAACTTTACTTGAATATTAAGCTTTACAAATTAGTTTCTACCTGTGTGATTTGGAGCTCAAACTCAAGTTTAAAGCTTCTTCTTGCCGCGCTGTACACATGTGTAGCATCAGTACAAATAGAAATACAAAATAATGTATGTACATATGTATATATATTTGTATATATATGTGTACGTATGTGTATATATATACAGTATATATACGTATATATAC